ATCAATACATCATGAGTGTAGATTAGTACAATGAAAATCCTCTTGGTGTAACTCAAGGGCACTAAGCGTACTACTCATATGAAAGCTACAGAAAACATTGCTTAGGTTTTTTAGGTTTCATATCCATAGAGAGTTGACAGCAACTGGCACTCAGAATACAGCAAAAACCCAAATCAGCCAAGTAACCAGGAACTCACAATTTTTCTGGTCCAAAATGTATTCAAATACAAATGGCTAATGTGGCCAAATAGAGTAAACTCCATCTCAGCAGCAACTTCATCCCCCTGGAGGCTGAGCTTTCAAGTCGTTTGATAAGTAGCTTTACTAGGAAAACTGGGAGGGGAGAAGACCTGGCTCTTGTTCTGTTTTGAACCATCTCATATGAAAAATGTTTTATAAAATCTACTAGGGGCCCAGTGCATGAAGATTGGTGTGGGGGGTGGGGGTGGGGGAGGGGGGGCCTCAGCCCGACCTGCACCCTCTCCAATCTGGGAGCCCTCAGGAAAGCCCTCTCCAATCCAGGAGTTTCTGTCCATCTTTGCAACCATATGAGCGAATTATCTGAGACCCCAATCCTGTTTGGTTTGTTGCTCACAGAACACAGAATAATAGAGGCTTTTTTTTCTTTTTCTTTGCTTCATTGGTGGAGATTTCCTGGAAGTTTTAGGATATCTTTTCTTTAATTTTTCCTACACACGTTGGTTTTACTTATGTCTCTCACCTTTGCTTTCCCTCCATCCCCCACTGCAACAGTAACTTGCTCCAGGCTCACTTTGCTCTAGTGTCTAGGAGATCCATCTGCCACCAGAACTACGATTCCTAGCATTCCTGGTGCTCCCTGTGCTCTGGGCTTCCATTTCCTGTCCTGGAGTTGCCACCAGAACTACTAATCCCAGAATTTCTGGTGCTCCCAGCACTCTTGGATTTCCCTTCCTGCTCTATCTCCATCCCATGGCCTCGTTCTCGGCCAAGTCCTCCAAGTCATCAGCTTTCCCTCTCTGCTCTCCATCTGATGCCTGTGTATGTAAATTAACCTTCCATCTTTGTTGGGTTAATCTGCATACTCACTCCCGATTGGCTGGTGAGTGTAGCAGAGGTACTGTCAATTTACATGTTTCCCTTTTATTATATAGCATATTCCTCTTCTTAGCTATGGCAATAGTCTGTGTTCACAGTGGACACTTTTTAGTGAAGAAATGTTACTCTCATTTTTTTCCCAATGTCTTTATTGTGGTAAAAAACATATGACATAAGATTTCCTATTTTAATTATCTTTAAGTATACCGTTTGTTCACTGGACTTAAGTACATTAACATCGTTGTGCAAACATGACCACCAGCCATCTCCAGAATTCTTTTCATCTTGCCGAACTGAAACTCTGTACCCATTAAGCAGTAATCTTCCATTTACTTTCTGTCTCCTTGATCTTTTTTTAAAATATATTTTATTGATTTTATACAGAGAAGAAGGGAGAGAGATGGAGAGTTAGAAACATCGATGAGAGAGAGTCATCGATCAGCTGCCTCCTGCACACCCTCCACCGGGGATATGCCCGCAACCAAGGTACATGCCCTTGACCGGAATCGAACCCGGGTCCCTTCAGTCCCCAAGCCGATGCTCTATCTACTGAGCCAAACCGGTTTCGGCAGTCTCCTTGATTTTGAATACTCTAAGTATAAGAGGGGAAAATATAGTATTTTTCCTTTTGGGACTGGCTTATTTCACTTAGCATAATGTCTTCGAGGCTCATCTATTTTGTAGCATTGTCAGATTTTCCTTCCTTTTTAAAGCTGAATAATGTTCCATTGTATGAATATGCCACATTTTCCTTATTTATGCTTCTGTCAGTGGATACTTGGGTTGCTTCCATGTGTGAGCAATTTTTAATGCTCCAGCTCTGAACATGGGTGTGCAAATAAATATCTGCTTTTAATCCTTCTGGGTCATCAGGTAATTCTATTCGTAAGTTTTTGAGAGAATGCCACACTGTTCCACGGTGGTTGTACCATTTTACCTTCATCGGCTGTGAACAGGCTTCCAATTTCTCACACCCTGGCTAATACTTGTTATTTTCTGGGTTTGGTTTGGTTTGATAGTGATGCTCTCATTTTGAAGCCAAATATACTATAATATCTTATGATTTGTTTCCATTAACATGAGGTCAATCAGTGAAGATACCAAAATAGCTAAATATCAGTATGATTTTTCTTGCATTCAGATTACTTCTTAGTCAAGATGAATGCTACTGCCTTCCATTCAACTGTAAATTAGAGTTGGCCATATTTCCCCTTGCTCTAAAAACAGTAGGGAATGAGTTCCCCTGCCTCTTCAGCTCCAAGTTAATTGCTGGAAACTATTCCTAACCAGACAAGATACAAATTGTGATTTACAAATGGATGTAGCCTTCATCCTTTATTCTGAAATGAGTTAGCTCTTACCAGTATAGCATAGATGCATTTGCTCATTGAATGCATAGGTTTCTCTTGTCTCTCTGGTAAGATTTCTTGGATTCAGCCGGGCAATGAGAAATGAGAATAATAGCCCCAATCAGACCAAACCAAAGGATAATGGTTAACAATTATATAGTACTTAATACATGCCAGGTGCTATTCTTAAGCTTTCATGTATATTAATTAGCTTATTTAATCCTAATAACACCGGAAGTTCAGTACTATTATCATCAGCCCCATTTTCAAGGGTGATGACACTGATAGGCAGGATGCTAAGGTGACAAGTTCAAAGTCACATAGTAAGTGGCAGAGCCAAGATATGCCCCTCTGGCTGCATAGTTCATACTTCTTCAGGAGAGGCTTCTCTCCCTCACTGGCAATCACACTTAGAATATTTTATTTTAATCTCTGACTGACACTGAGTGGCAATACTTGGGGCATCTCACATTATAAATAACTCCATCAAGTCCTATACATTCACCATCTAAAAAAAACTCAGCCAAAAAGTTTCAAAGAGCCAGCCCATGATCTTTTTTGTATCATTCTCTTGGTTCCTTTAACTTTTCCAAATATACGCTCTATCTTTAAATGATTCCGTGTCCTCTACCCCCATCTTTAATGTTGAGATTCCCAGTCTCAATCTTTTGTCCTTTTCACACTCTACTCCTCCTGAGTTACCACAGTAATGTCAAGACCATCAATTCATTTAGAATGTGCCTATGGCTTCTAAAACAAGAGTTTTCTCCATCCTTTTATCTCCTCCAGATTCCAACTGCCTTCTAAATTAATTGACCCCAAGTCTCTCATATACCTCAGATGCTACATTATCAATGCAGAATTCAGTATATCCATGCTTGCACACACACACACGTGTATACAACACACATGCACTTGCATACTTGGGCTTTGAAGCCGGACACATGAGAGTCTAAGTCATGATTCTGGCACTGACCATGCCAGGAAGTTAATGAACCTCTCCAAGCTTCAGTTTTCTCAGCTCTAAAGTGAGGAAAATACAACTTAATTTTATCGAATAATTGACACAGTCAAAATAGAAGTGCATAAACCAGGGCCAAAGTGAATCTGTTTCTCCTCTTTGGTTTCAAGATCCTTTAGAGTCAAAGTGAAATAAAAAGTGAAGTTGTTTTTCTAGTTTTTTAGGATGTTGGTGTCTCACTTTGAAACTTTCACACTCATTTGAAGTCTGTAATCCTTTATTTCTTCACAAAAATCTGTTGTCCACAAAAGGTGTTTTGTTCCTTTACCTTTAAAACTTCATCAGCTGGTTTAATTATTTGTCCAAGTTCCCAGTAAAACAGTGTCCCCCTCCTTCTGTGCAACTCTGCCATGTCATATGCTGTTGTTATCTTTCCCACCAGATTTTTACCACAAGTTGTTTAAAAACTATAATCTTTTTGAGGGTGGGGGGGAAAATGAAGTGCGGTTGAAGAGACAGTAATGCTGAGAGATAAACAGAGCAATATTACTTATCAGAATGGGTACGATTTTTGCCTGCTTAATGAGTACAATATATAGCCTTGCAATATATACACAAGGGGAAAAAAATAGCTTTATAACATATCAAGTATGCCACGTTATTCCAGCCATAACTGTATAGGATACGTATCTAGGCCTGAGAGTGTAGATAACAAAATATAAGTGCTTAGCCTGTCTAAACATGTAAAATAAATGAGCATTTGCTATCGCATTCCAATACATTAGAAGATGGCCTTGCATAGTTAATTTTCTTTTTAATGCACCACACGTGATCATTTGAAGCACAGAGCCAGAGTATATCTCAGTGTTTGAAGAAAGAGTTCTTTTCGTTTAAACAAATCTTTATTTAAATAAGCCTTTTTGAAAAGGATCTTCGGCCTATCTTCTTTTCAGGAAGTTCAATCAGGGTAAATGGAGATAAAGAAGCCATGTTATAAGGAACATTATATAAGTAAAAATCACTCAGCCAGGAAAAAAAAAAAATGTCCACAGACATAAAAGGGTGTAAAACTAATGGAATTTTGTCTTAACGTTCCAGATTTTAGGAGCTTTTATTTACTTGTTTTGTAGTTTGGAGTTATCTGGTAATGATATAATAACGTATTTTGGGAAGAGAGTGGGAGCTGGAGGGAAATAAATTTTAATTCCATAAGGTACAGAAAGAGAAACTTCAGAAACTCACCTGAAGGAAATGTTTGTGGTTGACCCCTACCATGTTTGTTCTTAGGCAGGATACCATGTCACGATTAAGGCAAGCCCAGAAGGCAGAGTTGACAAAACTCTCTAGTGATTATGTCTAGACCTGTTTCTTAGTCTTCTCTTACTATTGACCAATAAACAGTTCATTGGATGCAAGGAGTACAATTTTTCACATGGTTGGTAGGGAAGAGGAGTTTGACTATTGTCTTGATCGAACACTCCCCTTCCCACCCCAGTTGAAACTGGTGTGAAAAACATGAGAAGGTGCTATTGACATCAATCTAATTACAGCAGGCTGGAACATTCTATGTCAATTCTATCTTCCTCTTTTTTTTCTCTCTCTCTTCTTAACAGGGGGTCAACTTTGGTGCACAACAACGAAGGCCATCTCTGAGGGCGAAGAGCTAATTGCCTTTGTGGTGGATTTTGACTCAAGGCTCCAAGCTGCCAGTCAGATGTCTCTTACAGAAGGGATGTACCCTGCCCGCCTGCTGGACTCAATTCAGCTGCTTCCTCAACAAGCCGCCATGGCTTCTATTTTGCCTACAGCTATTGTCAATAGTAAGTGCTGAGTGTAACAGCCCAGTACAGTTGCTTTGTAGTGGGGATGGTATTTATGGAGAGGGGAAAAAAAAAAGTCTACTGACAGGCAACCAGGGATAGACTCAATATTTCATATTTCTTCTCTCTAACTCTGTGTGTGTTTGCTTCTCACGTGAGTATAAAAAGAATACTTTAAGTCATTCATTCCTTTCAGGTTGGGTTCCTGAATGTCATACACAAAAAGCTGACTTTCTAAACCAGTTAAACAACATACAGCTTTCTTGATTTTTTTTATAGTAGAATGATTGTGGTATTCTTTAAGAGTAATAAAGTTAAAAACTTAAAGAAAAAGAATGCAACTCAAATTTTGATTAGCTAGCCCAGCCATTCTGCCTCAGTGGTTGAAAAGGTCCCCTGCTCTACTCTACACTACTCTGGGTCAAGGCACGTGCATTGTGGGCTCTATCCCCAGTAGGGGGCATGCAGGAAGCAGCTAATTGATGGTTCTCTCATCCATGTTTCTCTCTATCCCTCTCTCTCTAAAATAATAAATATATATTAAAATTTTATTAGATATACTAATGGAAAGGAAGTTTAGCCTAGATAGATTATAGATCATTATAGCAGCTAATTTCTTATATAAATGAAATTATATATGCTTTATATGGAGAATTTTTAAATATGCCCTGGCAAATATCCTTTTATGTTTATTAAAATGACTATTGAACTTAGGTTATATTTCTTGAACATGCAAAGTGACACTGTATGTGACAGAAAATCAGTGACCTAGGAGTCTGAAGATCTATGCTATACACCCAGCTCTGCTTTTATCTAGTTCTATGAGAAAACATGAGTAGCAGGTACATCTGAAGAGGAGAAAGCTAATAAGTGAAATACTACATTTAGTAAAAAATGTCCTTGAAAATCTCTGAGACCCTGAATGATGAAGATGCAATGTTGTCTTGATATAAAGACATATATATATATATATATATATATATATATATATATATATATACACATACATATATAGATTCAGCAATAATTATATTCTTGCTGTAATAGCATCCTTTAGGATAAAGACATTCTTAAGTGTATGTGGAATTAGTCTGCATCCAACCAGTGGATCCAGAGGACTGAAACCAAGCTACAATTTTTTTATTTCCTTAATAAAAATGTAGTTAATTTCTTTAATGAACCTTTGCTTTAATTCAGATAGTGAGGAATGTGAAATAACAGTGGCCCAACTTGCATTTGAGGCGAAAAGGTTTGTTCCAAGGGACATGAGGGGTACCTCATATGATTGTGAAACTCCAATGTGTGAATGTTAATTGTAATCATATTGAAGATGGTACTTGGTTTGCTTTCTGTAGCAAGATAACTGTTGATCCCAAATAAATCAGCATAGTTGCATACCTCCTTCATTCTCATTCTGAAATTATTAGCTTATCAGTTAAACTCATCTTGCTTAGATGGACACTTTATTAAACAATGTGGCCTTCTCAATAGTGTAAATGCCACTAACTTGGTGAGAGAGGATAAATAATAGACAGTGGTAGTAGCATATAATTTTGTATATAATCTTAATTGGAAATTCTAGATTACACTTGCTGTCCTTATTTTTCATTCACTACAATTTGATCCTTAGTTTTTTTCTCATCTCAACACCACTGCCTTTACTATCATGGGTTTCACCAATTATACAATTTACAAATCACAAATCAGCCCTTTCTGCCAAGTTTTAGACCTCTGTTGCAACCTCTTCCATGTTCCTCTGTATTTTTTATAAGAATTTTAAATCCTATAATGTGTGTCTCCCAGGGTTTCTGGATTAGTCCCAATTTTGCTATCTGGCATCCCACTGACTGATAGCTCCTTCCCCTACACAATGGCCAGGTTTGCTCAATACAGTGCCAGTGTTTGTCACAAAAATGTGCTCTAGCCTTAACTCATCACCTCTCCATCGTCTGTTCCCTGATAAAATGAATGACACAGAAATGCTAACAGGAAGCCTAGGAACTGAGGAGATACCTTGCACTCTGCCCTAACATCTAATTGCAAAGCAGTGGTCATCACTTCCATTCAGTTCTACTTCCTAAATATCATTTTTCCCCCTCCCTCTCTGCCCCCCTTGCCATTGTGGCATATGGAAATGCTAACACGAGGTCCAATCCCAGTCCACCCACTTATGTGATCTGGAGCGACTACCTCAACCTCGGTTTTCTCACCCATAAATGGACGAAGGGGGAAAACACACATATGGAGAAAATGTCCATGAGTGACTACATGAAAATGCATATCATAGCATGTCTTTATAAATATTACATGACTTTAGCTACAGCACAAACTCTCATAATTCACTTAGATTCCTGCAGTTACCTCCTATCAGTCATAAGTCTTCCTTCCCAATTCAGTACCTTCAAAACTTATGACTCCATAATATCTGATTCTGTCATTCTTTTGCTTAAAGTAATTGGGTGATTATCCATAACCACTGAGATAAAAATTTAACTTCTTAAGAGAGCTTATACGGTCTTTGATAGTCTAGCCCTTCTACAACTTCCTGCAACCTCACCTGTCCCAATTCCCATCATGCCTCGTGCCTGAGCAGCACAGCCTCCCAGCCTTCACCAAGCCTCTCTCAGGCTACCATCACTTTCCCTAGGCTGTTCCTTGGACAGGAGGACTCAGCCCCCTTCTTCATCTGACTGATTTCATTGTTCACAACTCAGCTGAGGCATGCACCATCTTCCTTCTAAATTCTCATCTGACCTCCTTCTCCCTCCACCAGATGAGTTCTCTCACCAACATGGTGTCTTTTTTCCATGCCTAACCTGCCCCTCAGAAACCTCCATCATAATCGTCATCACATGCTAATTTCATTATCTGACCATAATCAACCCCAAGAGACCTTAAGCTTCTTAATTACAGCTGTGTAGTTTTTCACTTTCACAGCCAACCCAGGCTAGAGTCTGGCACATAGTAGGATCTCTGTAACTAACTTATTAAATGAAAAGATGATGTCAGGGGTTGGCATCAGGGTTAACTTTAGTTCAGCCATTAGATCCTTACATTTTAATCAATCGGAGAAACCAATTCACACTGCTATTTATAAATGCATATATTTCTAAACCGTAACTACAGTGTAAATAATTTTAAAATTAATCTCTCATGTTTTTATTGAATGTTGGTGTCTTCTACAATACCACTTTCTAAACACACTGTGGGAAGGTAAATTGCATTGAGTATGACATTCCTTAGTCTCGTTCTGTGGAACAGCATTCGCAACTGCACGGCCTTCACTCACTGTCCAACTGCCTAATCCAGAACCTCAGAGCAGTCTCTGAGGCAGATTGAACCAAATGGCTGCTCTACCCCCACATGGGCAGCAGCTCATGCGCCCTGTGTTTTTGTCTACAGAGGATATATTCCCTTGCAAGTCTTGTGGCATCTGGTATCGGAGTGAGCGGAACCTGCAAGCCCATTTGATGTACTATTGCAGTGGGAGGCAAAGGGAAGCTGCTCCAGTGTCAGAAGAAAGCGAAGACAGTGCCGCTCAGACTTCCTGCCTGTGTCCCTTCCCACAATGCACCAAGAGTTTCTCAAACGCCCGGGCTCTAGAAATGCACCTGAATTCACACAGTGGTAAGTGTCTCCCTTGTTTCCTCTTTGGCTCTAGGAGTCTCCATTCTTTACATATATGCATGCATACATCTATAGTCTCTAACTATAGCTACAAATAAAATTAAAACCTAACCAGTTAGATCAACTAGCTGGTTATGTCATTTATTTTCCACTCAAAGGACTTGGGTCTGAATTCTTTTCTAACAACTACTGTCCTCAGATTGCAGGCCAAATCATTCTTTCTTTCTTTCTTTTTCTTTTTTTTAAATTGAAGTAAAATAGGATTATTTTAGAAACTCGCAATACCTTTGTGCATTGTCATTAATATTCATTGATTTAAGTGTCAAGTGATCTTTGCAAACTGACCATACTGTTATCCACATGGCAGGAGAAAAAAATAGGTATTTAAAAAGAAGTATTTGCTGAATTGGAATAAAGCTATTATTTTGATAGGTCCAATTAAAATCACACTTGAGAAAAATTAACTTCTAAATATGGATCTATAAAATGCTCTTGACTTCCAGAGTGTACATCATAACAGCTTAGTTGATTTTTTGACATAAAATCACTTTTAGTACTGTTTTTAAATCACTTAAGAAAAATTAGGCTGAAAAACAAATAAGTATATATTTGTTTTAAGCCCATTCTTTACAGTAAGGTGATAACTATTTCCATTTATTTTGGAATTGTATGCTCAATTGTTTTTAGTATTATCACATAGTATTCAAATTTTCCTATTCTTTTAATTGAAACTAATTATATTAATTTTAGATATCTCTATAAACATTCTTGAGTAGGGCCAAACAAGTTTTGGGAATCACAGTTCATCAGCACCTATAATACAAAACTTGTAGGCTATTTCTGGGTGACTTTCTTCAATGTTTTTGCTGCGGGTAAATAAATAAAAAACTGAAGTTGGTGCTGAGTTGTAAACAAACTAGCTCCAACCTCCAATGTTCTAGAAAAGCACAAGCTTTTGTCTTTGAACCTGTAGAAGTAGTCAGTTTCCTTTCTACTCATTCTCTTCCCTTTCCCTACAAATGATCTGTCTTCATGTAGGTGATAAAGGAGGGGAAGTAGAAACAGGTTGGTGGTCTCAGATGATAAGTCATATACAAAACAATAACAGAAGGATCTTTTCAGATGGATAGAAAAACAAATGTTAGGTTACTTAAGGAGAAAGAGAGACAAGGATAAGAAATTCCATTTTATAGCTATAGGGCCAGGTTTCTCTGCCATTTTTTAACCTCCTTATATAATAAACGCCTAATATGCAAGTGTAATATGCTAATGATATGCTAAGGTCACTCAACTGCTTGCTATGACATACACTGACTACCAGGGGGCAGATGCTCCAACCGGTAGGTTAGCTTGCGGTTGGGGTCCAGCGGATCGGGATTGAGCGAAAAGGGCTGGACACAGCCTGGAATCCTCCCATGGTCACTCCTCACATGGCAAACCTGCCATGCCCCAATCATGAACTATTGGGGTCCCTCAGCTTGGCCTGCACCCTCTCACAATCTGGGACCCCTTGGGGGATGTCAGAGAGCCAGTTTTGGTCTGATCCCGCAGGTCAAACTGAGGGACCCCACTGGTGCATGAATTCGTGCACTGGGCCGCTAGTATAAATATAAAAGGCAATTCTCATTTTAGTCTAGAGTACAGAGAGGATGAGCCAAGCCTGATTTAACCATAAACTAACAAATGAGGACTAGAGTTACCGTATTTTTCGGACCATAAGACGCACTTTTTTCCCCCCAGAAGTGGGGGGGAAAAGTCCCTGCGTCTTATGGTCCAAATATAGCCTACACATATACTTTTAAAAAAAAGTTTTTTTACTTGCCCGGCTCTGTGTGGTCTCTGTGTGCTTGCCCGGCTCTAAAATGGTTCTAAATGCTGCTGTTTACTTTACAGGGTTGATTACATGTGTTTATGACTGTGATGTTGGGTTTTAATGCACATAAAATATTTTAGGACACTATTTGTTTCAGAATCTTTTTTTCTTCATTTCCCTTCTCTAAAAACTGGTGCGTCTTATGGTCCGGGGCGTCTTATGGTCCGAAAAATACGGTAACTTTAGTGAGTAAAAGTGTCTGGATCTCAATTCCAATGCATGGGGGGGAGGGGTCCTCCAGGGGGATCCCCTACTCCACCACCAAGCAATTGTTTAAAAACCAACTGGGTATCCTGTAATTCAACTCAATTCTGATACATTCTACCCAGAGATAGCATTCGATACCATGGGTTAAGAACTCAAGACAGCCGCCCCCATTTCAGATGTTAATTGCAAGTCCAGATTGTTACCTGTGCATCTGACCAACTGGTGGCTATAAATCAGAGATTGCCAAGACCCCTTCCTTGGGCTTGAATAATTTATTGGAGTGGTACATGAAACTCAAGAAACCCATTTATTCACCAGGTGACCAATTTATTATGAAAGGAAACAACTCTGGGGCAGACAAATGGAAGAGATGCCTAGGACAATATATGGGAAAAGGATGAGGAGCACCCTATGCCTCCTCAGAGTATGCCATTCTCCCCTAATCTACATGTTCACCAACCCTGAAGCTCTTTGAGCCCAATCCTTTTAGTTTTCTATGGAGGTTTCATTACATAGACATGATTGATTAATCATTGGCCATTGGCTGTTGAACTTATTCTCCAACTCCTCAACCCCCTCCCAGGAGGTTGGGGATGGGGGAAGACTAAAAGTTTCAACCCTTTAATCATGGATTTCTTTCCCCTCCCCCAACCCCACCTTAATAAGCCTCCCACCCTTTGGTTACCTAGGGGCTTTCCAAAGGTCACCATTAACATAACAAAAGATGCCTTTATCACTCTTATCACAGGAAATGTTAAGGATTTTAGGAGCAGTGAGCCAGGACCCCCAAATATATATAAGAAATAAGTTAATAGTACGAATTGTTGCTGGTGAAAATGGGTTCTTGTGGTATCTCAAGAAAGAAATTTCAAAGGGCGCACAAGCTTAAGAGAAGTTTAAATGGAGTGGCAAGATTTAATGGGGTGAAGGGAAATGATACACCCTAGGGATATAGACTGTGGGCAGAATCTAGCAGCAACTGCTCCCAGATACTTGATAATCCTCCTTTTAGTCTTCATTTTCCCTAGGAAAGCTTTTCCTTGTTCTGCACCTCCCACCCTAACCAGTCCCTTTCCTGAACCATCTGGGGTTCCGTGGCCCTTATCCAATCTGATTCTTTTCCCAGCTAGGCTCTGTCACCATGTTGGCTCCTACTGTGCATGTCCCAAAGATTTACTGGTTTCTACTGCCATGCACTTACCTCCCCCTGTGCCATCTTGGTTTCTACTACACATGTGCCTAGCAAATGAATTTCCCCTGCTGTTCTTCTTCTTCTTTTTTTTTTTTTAAGTATGTTTTTATTGATTTCAGAAAGAGAAAGGGAGAGGGAGAGGGAGAGATAAACATCAGTGATGAGAATCATTGATCTGCTGCCTCCTGCATGCCCCCTACTGGGGATTGAGCCTGCAACCTGGGCATGTGCCCCAATCAGGAATCAAACTGTGACCTTCTGGTTCATGGGTCAACGGTCAACCGTTTAGCTACAAGGGGTGGGCTCTGCTGTTGCTCTTATCCCTTCCTCAGTAATCCTGGCTAATGACCTGTAACCAGTTCTTCCTGCCCACTTTTTTGGAGGACGCAGTAGTCCCCTGAGGAACCTGTGAATATTGTAGCTTCCAAGTGAATGAGGCTTAATGTCAGATTCAGCTCCCTAGTAGATTAGGTTTAATATCGGATTCAACTCCCTAGTTTATTAAGCTTAACGTCTCGATTCCCTTTGCTTCCTCACTTTATTAATAACTAGCTAACTACTTACACTAACACCATGAGATTCTGAAAGGTTTCAGTTCATTCCTGTTGTATTGAAGACATTAGGTCATTGTCAAGGTTCCTGTCATCACAAAACCAACACATGAAGGTCTCAGTATTCTTATTTTGTATGTCTCTCCAGGAGTGAAAATGGAAGAATTCCTCCCTGCTGGTGCTAGTCTGAAGTGCACCGTCTGTAGCTACAATGCTGATTCTGTGATCAACTTTCACCAACACCTGTTCTCCCATCTCACTCAAGCTGCCTTCCGCTGCACTCACTGCCACTTCGGCTTCCAGACTCAGAGGGAGCTCGTGCAGCACCAGGAGCTCCATGTCCCTGGGGGCAAACTTCCCCGAGAAAGTGACCTGGACCACTCCCCCAGCGGAACGGAAGACAGCTTACCGCCAGCCACGGACTTGTTGGCCAGAAGCGAACTCCCCCAGAGCCAAAAGGCCATGCAGACTAAAGACGCCAGCTCTGACACCGAGCTGGACAAGTGTGAGAAAAAGACTCCGCTCTTTCTCACGAACCAGAGGCCAGAGATCCAGCCGGCAACAACTAAGCAAAGCTTTTCCTACACGAAAATCAAGTCTGAGCCCTCGAGTCCAAGACTTGCCTCCTCTCCCGTGCAGCCTAACATGGGGCCTTCTTTCCCGGTGGGTCCTTTCCTCTCTCAGTTTGCTTTCCCCCAAGATATCACCATGGTCCCTCAGGCTTCAGAGATCTTAGCCAAGATGTCCGAGCTGGTGCACCGGCGCCTGAGGCACGGAAGCAGCAGCTACCCTCCCGTCATCTACAGCCCCTTGATGCCCAAGGGGGCCACTTGCTTTGAGTGTAACATAACTTTCAACAATCTGGATAACTACCTAGTGCACAAGAAGCATTACTGCAGCAGCCGATGGCAGCAGATGGCCAAGTCCCCCGAGTTCCCTGGGGTTGCAGAAAAGATGCCCGAGGCCCTGAGCCCCAACACCGGCCAGACCTCCCTGAACCTCCTCAACCCGGCTGCTCACGCTGCTGATCCCGACGGGAATCCACTCCTCCCAACGTCCTGCATCAACTCCTCCTCCGTGGTCTTAGATTTAATCGGGCCCAACGGGAAGAGCCACGACAAGGACTTCTCTGCTCAGGCCAAGAAGCTCTCCACCACCTCCAGCGGCAACGACGACAAGATGAATGGGAAACCCGTGGATGCAAAAACCCCCTTGGTGGACGGGGAGAGCGACCCCAACAAGACCACCTGCGAGGCCTGCAACATCACCTTCAGCCGGCACGAGACCTACATGGTCCACAAGCAGTACTACTGCGCCACCCGCCACGACCCGCCGCTCAAGAGGTCGGCCTCCAGCAAAGTGCCCGCCATGCAGAGGACCATGCGCACACGCAAACGGAGGAAGATGTACGAGATGTGCCTCCCCGAGCAGGAGCCGAGGCCCGCGCTGGTCCAGCAGCAGCGCTTCCTGGACGTGGCCAGCCTCGGCAATCCGTGCACCTCCTCTGCCCAGGAGCCCCCCGACGGGCTTGGGGAATGCTACCACCCACGATGCGACATCTTCCCGGGCATCGTCTCCAAGCACCTGGAGACGTCCCTGACCCTCAACAAGTGCGTCCCTGTCTCCAAATGTGACGCCCCAGCTCATTCCAGCGCGTCCTGCCTGGAGATGGACGTGCCCATGGACCTCAGCAAGAAGTGCTTATCCCAGGCCGAGCGGACCACCGCGTCCCCCAAGAGGCTGCTGGACTACCACGAGTGCACCGTGTGCAAGATCAGCTTCAACAAGGTGGAGAACTACCTGGCCCACAAGCAGAATTTCTGCCCTGTCACCGCCCACCAGCGCAACGACCTGGCTGCGCAGCTGGACAGCAGCAAAGCGTTTGCTGCGAACCCGGAGAGCGGGCGCAGCAGCCCCGATGCGGCCGCCGGCTATGACCGGAGCATCCTCAAGTGCGAGAAGAACGGGAGCCTGAAGCAGCCTTCCCCCAACCCCAACGGGAACCTCTTCTCCTCGCACTTGGCCACCCTGCAAGGCCTGAAGGTCTTCAGCGAGGCTGCCCAGCTCATCGCCACAAAGGAAGAAAGCAAACATTTGTTCCTGCCGCAATGCCTTTACCCGGGGGCCATCAAGAAGGCCAAGGGAGCCGCCGACCAGCTCTCTCCATATTATGGGATCAAGCCGAGCGATTACCTTGCAGGCTCTCTGGTCATCCATAATAATGCCGACCTGGAGCAAGGCACGAATGCAGAAAATGAATCTCCCCCCAAAGGCCAGGCTGCCTCCAACGGGTGCACGGCGCCCAAGAAGGACTCCCTGCCTTTGCTGCCCAAAAACAGAGGCATGGTCATCGTCAACGGGGGACTGAAGCCAGATGAGAGGCCTGCCCCCTCCACCAACCCGCAGCAGGAGAACATTTCCCAGAATGCCCAGCACGAAGAGGGCCACAAATCTCCCTCCTGGATCTCGGAGAACCCTTTGGCCCCCAATGAGAACGAATCCCCAGGAGTGCCCTCTGCGGAGGACCAGTTGTCTAGTATAGCGAAGGGGGTAAACGGCTCCAGCCAGGCTCCCACCAGCGGCAAGTACTGCCGGCTGTGTGACATCCAGTTCAACAACCTCTCGAACTTTATAACCCACAAGAAGTTTTATTGCTCGTCACATGCAGCGGAACACGTCAAATGAGATGACTAGCTAACTTAGAGACGCCAAGGCCCCTTTTGGTACAGTGTTGAGTAACGTTGATTCTTCCCGGCCCAGAAAGTGATAAACCAACAGAAACAGAAGCTGTGTGGGTTGTATCTGGGTAACCGGGATGGCCAAATGGAAGACTTAAGGTGTACTTTCATTACAGTCCATTAGTAACGTGTATTATTGGTGCCATTTTCAAGAAAAAAGAATTAATTTATTTTACCGGCAGTATTCATAGCTGTGGTTATGTTATTTTTATTTAAAAAAAAAACACACAACAAAACTTTATATTAAAGTCATTTGTAATGTTATTGTATAGTTATCGTGTAGCACATATGGTTTGCACTGTATAGTAGCTTTTAAAGAAAATAGTCACAAACAATACAGAAAAAAAAAAAGCATTTTAGAAATAGCTTCAAAAGCACTCGTGTACCTTGGTTTTCTTCTTATATGCTGTTGCAGATGAACGTATATGCTAAAATATAACTTGCAAAGATGTTCTAAGTACACATGCTGTAAGTTCGCCTTAAGATTTCAATTCTTGGATAATCAGGCCCTGTTTGCACTTTATATTTTAGCAGATACCATCCCTTAGTCACTAGGCTTTGCATTTGTATGTAGCCGTATGTTTCTGTCCATTTTCTTAACCTTAAAACATGTATGTTAAATGAAGATGGCCATTTTTTTCTTGTATAGTACTTGTATTTTCTTTCGCTGATGCAGCTCTGTTCTCAATTTTTAAACCTTTGCTGTTAAATGCAATACTTTATAAAGAATGAACAAAATTACTGGAAGCAGTATTGTAAGTAAACGAAGTAGTATTAACCAGTTTTATCTTTTGAAAGGCACAGTCTAAATCGAAACCCTGAACTCAATGCTGCAAGTATGAATTTAATTCATATATAAGATCTATTTAAATATAATAGTAGCAATACTGCACCTGGTGATCACAAAGATAATGTTCTACTTCTGATAGAAATAATTTCTCAACAAATGTTGTTACTATGCATGTATATGGATGGAATAAAATTCCAGATTGTTGGAGACGTTTGGCATACTTTTTTTTCCTTTAAGATATAAGAGCAACCCCATATATGAAGAGAATAGGTTCACCAAGGCATTAATAGCTGTAATAACATGTTGTCAAAACAGTAAAGCAATAGATTGTCCTTTCTATGTGGCTAATTAATATAACTTATTATATTAAAATGAATTAGAGACTCCAGGCTATGAAACTAGAAAAGTTCTTCATTATAACTATATTATACAAGCACTCTACTTCCTCCACCCCTGTAGCAGAGAAAAAGAGAAATTCCGTGAGTGTCCAAAAGGCTTACAGAGCCTCTACCCAAGAACTGGTACAAAGTTTGGTCAAATGTGCCCAACTTTTAGATAGAGTTTGCCGGAGAAAGAGGTTTGCATTTTGAGGAGCAGTGAAATGGTGTGTTAAAGTGGCTCTGATGAGTAAAGATGCACACATTTCATGCTTGTGATTTGTAAAAGACTGGATTTCACACATCTCATTTGTCCATTGAAAGGGTTTGCACGTTGAGGGGGACTGGAGGGCAGTGTGGGTTATGGAGGACCTGGTGGACTCCCCAGAGGGGTTGAGATATGATTCTATAGGCTAGATGATACCCATTGCCATTCAAATCCACAATGACTTTAGAAGCATCCTGATCTGCAAAAGCAGTTGCTTCTCCTGTGCCTGAGAAGCACTATTTGCAGAGAGATCATGATGCACCATTAATTGTCCATATTGGATGTGATAACATAACCAACCTAAGGTGCCAGCCTCATAACGTATAAACAAGGGGACAAAACATAAAAAATACTATGTTGTCAAGGCCATTTTTTCAGTTGCTTGTTGAGAATAACTATCTTCCTTCCTATATAATAAAAGGCTAATATGCAAATTGTCCCCTTGACGGGAGTTCAACCATGAGTTTGACCCAGAGTTCAACCAGGGGGCAGGGCTAGCCAGACAACCACCTATGGCTGCTCCCCTGGATCAGTCCCACCACCCTCGTATGCCCCCTCCACCCTGTTCATGGGCGGGGCCATCCAGCCAACCACCTGTGGCCCCTGCCTCTGGATGGCCAGACCCCACTCATGCATGAATTTGTGCACCAGGTGTCTAGCTTAAATATAAAATGTTGTCTTTAACTAATACTTCTCATTTCAGGTGAGCAAAATTTAGATGCTTAAATGAGTCTTGCAGAAATCAAAGTGCTCAGGGACCCACAAGTATGATCATGCAGATCTGCTCAGTTCTCAGGTGGGAGCTGGCAAGCTTGGGTATTCTTTACGGGACTTTCTTCAATCTCTTCTTTTTTGTCATTTTATTGAGGTGTCATTGGCTAATAAACAGATTTCAGGTGCACACTTCCATAATACATCATCTATATATTGTATGTTTACTACCCCAAGTCACAGCTCCTTCCAACTCCTTTATCTCCTCTATACCCTCTTCTACCTTTTCCTACCCCTCCCCTTCCCCACTGGTAATCACAATGCTTTTGTCTGTGTCTATGCATTTTTTATGTTTGTTTTTGCTTAATTCAGTCACCCTTTCCCAATCTCTTCTTCTTTAAAAATAAAAAAGAAAGAAAATCATCTAAGCAACATTTCTTTATTGATAATCTAGGATTTTACCCACTATTTCGGGAAGGATGGCAAAAAGAGCAATGTTTCTTCATATTGGATTTTTGGATTTTGGAGGGCAAAGCAACCTTAGGGTATTCTATTGTCCTCCCTTGACCACAATGGGGAATCATTGAATTAATCATAGAGTGAATGGGGGAGTAGTCTTCTGATGTTAACACCAAACTAAATTAAGCTGGCAGCAGAATTTAACACACAAGTTGGCCTTCAACGTGTTGTGATCTTATATGTAACACATTCCAATGTTTATAACTATTATAATTTTAAAATGAGTCAACATGTTAGTTTCAATATTGAAATTAAAACTAAAAATTAAGTTGTTATAGAATCTGAAAAAAATTAGATATTTAAAAGTCTTAATTAGGCGTCCAACCTCTTATTTTCAAAAAAAACTGAGATGTGAAGTGGCCAAAGTCAGGAAACAATGGGTGAAAGCTTACATAACTTCCTTTCCCCACCATACCAGAGGGCACACAGCTAAAATCCCAGCTACTTTTTCTTTCTCCAATATATTTATGTCTCACTCAAACCTTCTCTGGAGATAGGGAAAGGAGAGCATGTTAGTTTCTCACTACTCCTGTAAAAGTGACCACAAACTTGGCAACTTTACAGACATTTCTTCGTTCTCAGCTCTGAAAGCCAGAGTCTGATAGCAAGATGTCAGCAGGGTGCCCGGGTGGTATAGTTCAGTGGTTGCACTGCGACCTATGAACCAGGAGGTCACTGTTCAATTCTGGTCAGGGCACACACCCAGGTTGTGGGCTCCATCCCAGTGTGAGCTGTGCAGGAGGCAGTGGGTCAGTGATTCTCTCTCATCACTAATGTTCTCTCTCCTTCTCCCTCTCCCCTCCTCTCTGAAATCAATGAAAACATATATGAAGAAAAAAAAAATAGAATACCTTCCTTATGTCTCCAGTTCCTGGTGGCTGTCAGCATCCCTTGTCTTGCAACCCCATGGCTCTCATTCCTGCCTCCCGTGGTCACCCTGCCTCTTGCTCTCTGTAACGTAGCCTCCCTCTTCTCCTGGAAGGACCTTGGTGATGGCCTTAAGGCTTACCAGGCTCCTCTCCCTGAGGCCAGTCCTATGGGTGCACACATCTTTACCGCCAGCATTGGTGCCCCTAGCATTTGCTGCAAACATTTTCACAGCACAAGTGTTGGCCGGAGGCAATTTCTCCGTAAAAGAAAAAAAAAATAATGGGTCGACAGTTTGGCTTCATGTCTCTATGGATGGAAGCAACAGACGATGTATGTAAGCTGGTTGCCAGATTGCATACTATCCTAGAAAATGGTTAAAAACCCATGTGTGCAAATCCTCGGTGAGCACTGTCCTCCCTGACGCCCTGCAGACAAAACGCTAGCCCCGCAAAAGAGGCGGCCACTCGTTCACAACAGTTTTCAAGAGCATTGATTATCCATTCTTTAGTTGGAAACTCTCGATGAAAATATTTAAGTATTCAAGTGCAAAGAAAAAAAATAAGTCAATGGGAAGGAGAAGACAAATTAAGCAAAAAGAAAAAAAAGTGTAATAATATGAACAAAAGGTCTTCCAAGATGATATATTTTCGTCTTCCACAATAGAGTACTTTTATTTCTATGATCAGGTGTTTTTTTGTTTGTTTGTTTGTTTGTTTGTTTCCATGTTGCGTGATCATGCTCTTATTAATGCTCCCATTTCTTCATTGCTCTTTCTTTTACGGCAAAATTGCCTTACGGCTTACGGCCGAGTCGCCCTGCGGCCAAGATGTTTGGGGCGAAACCACCTGCATGGACCTCCTCGTATCTCCATCCTTCATCACACCTGCGGAGACCCTCTCTCTTCTTAAGGTAACATTGCTGAGTTTCGGGGACCAGGCCTGGGTGTCTTGGGGGGCCGTTGTAGTGCAGCCTCCTAGCGGGCGGTAAGCAATGCTCTGCCCGTGTCCGGGCGGAGCAGGGAGGGAGCAAGGGGAGCTGGGCCCAGCCAGGCTCCTCAGATGGGAAGTAGCACAGCAGCAATGGTGGTCCCCAACCTGGGGAGCTTCCTGGGGTGTAATGGAGACCCAAGTGTCATTCATTCATGTGCATGACATTCATAAACAACGCAGCATCTACACTAGCGGGTCTCCCCTGCTCGCTGGGGACTCAGTCATGAGGCGGAATTGAGTACAGTGACCACCTAGCCAGGCTGGATGTCTGTCGGGAAGTTAGTCTGAACCTTATTAATTCACAGAATCAGGCAAAAGCAGGCACAGGCTAGGCGAAAGTTTACTCTGGCACTACCGAGAACAAAGAAAGTTTGCTTAGTACCTTAGTAGAATAAACAGGATTGAAAGAAAATAAACTGTTTTCAAGAACCTTGGCAACCCCGTTTTGCATACCAAAGAATATATTCATGTCAAAGGAGTCTTATCTTCGTATTGAAGAAGGTCGGAGCTTGTTTGCTTGACAAGGCTTCTTTGATTATTCATTCCGTTTTCTACATGTGACAGAACTGGCTGCGGGTGGTGTAAAATGCCACTCAGTTCAGAACCCTTTTTTCCACTGGGGGAGGTCAGTGACCCTCAAGAAAAAACAATCAAGTAAAATACAGTGTTGTTGTGTTTAGGAAAATATATGCAATGACCAAATAGTCTTTTAAAATTAATAATGGGGATAGAAAATTTCATTAAAAATACAAGAAGTGAAAAAAATATATATACTCAATATAATTCGTTTAAAGTAAGAGGATAATAGAAAGGAGATGATTCAGAGGAACAACATAAAAATCATGGAATAGTAAGGGGAAAACAGAAAATGTGAGGCAAAGGAATTTCCAGGAAGGTATTCATACCAAGATGCTCAGAGACACCCCTGGGATGGACACACCTGCTACAGCAGATGAATTGTCCCTGACCCTAGGCAAGGCCAGTTTTTCCACTTAAGTTTCCAATTCCCTATAGTCAATTATTTCCTCTCTTTCCTCGCAAAAAAGCAATAGATGTGTCTTTTTTTTTAATTAATTGATTGATGAGAAAGAGAGAGATTTATTTTTCCACTTGTTTATGCATTCGTTAGTTGATTGTTATACGTGACCTGACCAGGAATCAACCCACAACTTTGGCTTATCAGGAGGATGCCCTAACCAGTTTATCTACCCAGCCAGGGCCAGGTGTGTCTTTTTCAATTTATGTGAGGATGTGGACAAGAAGCATCAACATGTGCTCTAAACTGAAGTCTGAACCAGAATGGAAAGGTCCTTCGCAGGTGTCATGGATTGTGTAATAATCTGTCAATTAATCCTGGAGGATGGAGCGAGTTCCAATAATGCTCAGATAAAATCCCTTGTCAGTCTTATGGAAGGAGGCTTGGGGCAGATTCAATTCAATTTTAGGGATTAGAGGTGTGTGATGTTACCTACGTA